GGCAACGATTTGTGATCGGTGTGGCCTGGAAGAGGGGTGGGGAAAAGAGAAATAAAATCAATAAATTCGCCTCTTTCTGCCGAGAGGAGTTGCTCGTTAAGGGGGAAATCGCAGCACCGTGCAAGGTAACGGCGCTTTCCCCTGGAGCGCCCGTACCCGGCGAACGAGGCTGCGATTACTTGGAAAATCAACCCAGGTACCGATTTTTGGAGGCGTCCCGGCCGGGATCTCCGTCTTCCCACAAGGGCAAAGTGCGGCGATGCCGGCAAGAGCCGTTTTACCCCAGAGGGCAAAGGCCTCCTGAATGCCAGCCCCGCCGGCCGCGAAGGGCGGAAAAGGGGATCAAAACTTCCCCGTTATGTCCCGAGTCCCCCCCTTTTTCCGCGTTAATTTGAGCCGGGTTTAATTCCCCAACGCTTCCCCGAAATGCTCAGGGGTTGGAAGCGTTCCCGCCAGCTCGGCTTGAAATGAAAACCCATTTTTTTACGTAAAATGAGCAGAAATGTTGCTCTTTTGGGGACAACCCCGTGCTGGGACGACGGTGAGATGCGATTTCCTAGGTACTCGGTGCGAAACGCGTGGGTTTTCGGGACGCGGCTCCGTTTCGACGCCGGGCGAGCGCTGCGGTAACGACGGACTCGTCTCTAATTGCTTTTTTCCTCTTTTTTTTTAGGTTACGGGGATTGGAATTCTGGGACGAACAGAGGCAAGTACAGGGAAACTGGAGGAACGTTTCATTCCCTCCCACCCCAAATCTGTTTCCTGAGTCCAAGATCAGCACCGAGCGATCCCAAAACAGCCCGGACCCCGCGCTGCCCTGCCCGTGCCGCGATTTTCTTCGGTTTTACCTTAAAAAATCCACATCGAACCCAACAAAAACCTTTGGTGCTGTAACAGAACTGTTCTAGGCAGAATATTTAGGGGTTTTTGGGGTTTTATTCACCCAAAAAATGATGTGGATCGAGGCTGGGGGCGACGGCAGAAACACAAACCTCTGCGCCGCGCGTGCCCGCGGCCAAATAAATCATCAGGAGCGAGAAAAAACGAAATTTGAAGTCTTGGCAGGCTTTGAATTGGCTTTGTGTGTTATTTTTCTGGTGGTTTTTAACAAGTTGGGCTTCTTTAGCCAGCGGAGAAGCCCCTTGGTCGTTTTCTGATAGGGAACGTGTGGGAAACGCTCGGCTGGGAAGGTGTTTTTGCTTTGGCGCCTTTGAAGGGGTTGTCCCGTTGGATTTAAGGGCTTAGAAAACCACTTAAAGTGAGGGGTTTTGGGGTTTCTTGGTGTCTGCGTTAACCCAGACTTCAGTTTTTCCATCGGCCATGTTTATTCCCCTCTGGAGCAGATGAGACAGAGGAAGCCACAGGCAGTGGCTTTGTTTTGTAGCACTTAAATAAACAAAGCAAACCTTTGCGAACGCGGCTTCAAGAGGAATTTGAGCTTTAGTTTTCATTTTGGGTTGATTAATTCAAATTAAAATGTTAGCGAAGCTGGGAAACTGGAAATAAACCCAACTCCGCTCTTCTCTTTTGGTGCCGTTGCAGGTTACGAGGGCTACGGTTACGGCTATGGCTACGGCCAGGAGAACTCGGGCAACTACGGCTACGGCGTGGCCGCCTCCAACTCCTGGGAAATGGCCAACTCAGACGTGGAGATGAACCCTGACGGGGGCGGCGGCGGCGACACCGTCCTGGCCAAAATGAACCAGCGCATGGACATGGTGGCGCACATGGACCCCGACGCCATGCAAGGGGGGGGACACTACGGATCCGGCGGCGACCGGTGAGCGCGGTAACGAGCGGCTGCTCGTTAGGAGGCCTCGCTTGGTTTGGTCCTCGCCGCTTTTCGGGTGTCGGGAGTTGAGCTGAGTCCTGTCACTAAAAACTTAAGATTTTACACGAAAATTTCATCCATTTCTGGCAAAAAAATCCCCAGATTTAGGACTTCCGGTGCGGTGTTTCCAGCGGTGGCTGAAATTTGGGGTTCTTTGGTAAAATAATTACAGGGAATGATGTTACACGCTTGGTTTTGTGCTTCTAGAGTGGCGGTAGGGAAAACCTGGCCCGGTTTCATCCTTAATCTGGGTTTAAATTTAAACATTTAAATATTTGAGAATTTGACGGTTTAAATATTGGAAAATTTGACAGTTTAAATATTTGAAAATTGGAATATTTGGAAAATGGAAAATTGAAATATTTGGAAAATTGGAATATTTGAATATTTGGAAAATGGAAAATTGGAATATTTGGAAAATGGAGAATTGGAATATCTGGAAAATGGAAAATTGGAGTATTTTAGGTTCTTCTGGTTAATGGATTGACCTCTCTGCTGCAGCGAGGGTTTCGTATTCAGCGTCGCAGCGCTGCGACGTGGGCAGCTCCTCGCTGACCTTAATTAATGTTTAATGATAAATGTGATTATTTCCCCAAGTACTTCCAGTTTCTTGGCGTGTGCTGCGAGTTTTGAGCCGGGACTGCAGGGCGACTGCTTGGGAATGGGAAAAGCTTTGTTAAAAGGCTCAAAAATTCCTGCTCCTTGCGGGAAATAACGAGAAATGCGAGTTTGTCAGTCAGATAGTGAGGCCACGAAGCCTTAAATTCCCATCCCAGGAATTGTAGTACAGAGTTTAAAGTTTAAAAAATCCTCTGTGGCCTCATTTCCAGGTGGAAAAAAAGAAAAATAATTGAAATTAATTGGGTCGTCTCCTGGCTTCCCGGTTGGGGAAACCAGTCTCTTACTGGGAGTGAGGAGGGAGTAGGGCCGTGGTTGTGCCGAGGCGTTCCTCGAGTAGCTGAGGAGTAAATTGCGCTGTTCCTGGAGGGATTTCTGGGCGAGGTGGGCCTTATTTTTTAATTATTTTAAAATATTTTGGAAGAAATGGGTGTTTCCAGGGGCTCCTTGGCATTGAAATGTCTTGGGTTCCTCCACCGCTGGATCCTTAAAACTCCGTTGCTATCTCTGCTGTCCCACTGCACCGTGACGTAACGCCCCACGTAAAATAAGCTTAAAGAGTAAGGATTCTGCTTCAGAGGGTTTTGTTTTCCTCGCCTCTCGCAGGTACGACTCGTACGAGTCCTACGACTCGAGGTCTTCCATGAACGACCGCGACATGTACCGCTCTGGCTACGACTACGACGCCGCCGAGCACGACAACGACGGCGCTTACGAGGGCCACTACGACAACTTCTACGGCAACCGCCGCGATCAGTACCACAACCGAGCGCGGGAGAATTTTGGGCAGCGGGGTCAAAACTGGGGCAGAGACGGACGCAATAACAGACCCATGGGGTCTTCCTACCCCGGGCGCCAGTGGAACGAGCCTCCGCCGTCGATGGGATCGCGCGGCCCCCACGGTTCCTCCCGGCTCCCTTCCCTCTTCTCCCACAACATCATCCCCGAGCTGGGCATGTTCCAGGGGATGCGCGGTTTCTCGGGAAACCCGCGCTACGGAGGAGGGATGATGAAACAGCGAATGAGGAGGAACTGGAAAATGTGGGACTCGGATTTTAAAGTAAGTATTTGGGCCGTATCCGCCCGCCTGTTCGGTTTAGTTCCCAATGGGCCCACGCGTCCTGCGGTGACGGGCTCCGAAAATAGCAATAAAACAATTAACTGGGGAAACCAGTCTCTTCCTGGGAGTGAGGAAGGAGTAGGGCCGTGGTTGTGCCGAGGCGTTCCTCAAGTAGCTGAGGAGTAAATTGCGCTGTTCCTGGAGGGATTTCTGCGTGTTACTGGCCTCGCAGTGTGGCTCTTCCTGAGCAGATTTGGCTGCTGTGCTTGGCTGCAGAGCAATCTTGACACCTGAGCTGTTTTAATCTTAAAAAAAATGTTGTTTTCTGAACGTAGGAGAATCTTGCAGCCCTCCATGGCTTGATTTCCTATATTAAGAGGTGGATTTTGCCCTTCGTGATCGACTTTGCTTGTTGGAAACTCAATGCAAGGAGATTTAACTCACTAGAAATGAGTAAAACGAGACAAAAATTCCCTTTCCTCTTCTCTCGCAGCCCCAGAAAAAGAAACTCAAGAAGGATCTCACCGGGAAGAAGCGGAAGCAGGCGAACAGCTCCGACGAACCCGACAGCAAAGCGGCGAAGACGGACGGCTCCGATAACTCCGACTCCGACAATGGTCAGTGCCGGGCGCGCGAAGCCGCCGCCGTCTTTCTTCTCGGCAGCGAAACGGTCGCTGTCGACGCGGGTGATTTCTCTTGACGCCCGACTGCGTTTTCTCTTTCAGAGGAGGGAACAGAAGGCGAATCGGGGGAAAAAGAGGAAAAAGAAGGCTCCAGAGGTGTAAGTAACTCTTGAAAACCACTTCGCTGCGACACAGCGCTGTGGTTTTGGTTGGAGGTGGTGAGCGCGGATCCTCAACGCCTGCGTTATTCCCAGTTGCCTCTCCCTGCAGTGCTTTGGGTGCCGGGGGAGGGTTTTGGGGGCTGGTGAAGGTGTCGGCGGCCAAACCTTTGCTTCCTCTCGATGGTTTTAACTTCCCAACGTTGCGGTTTTTTTTTTTTAGGAAGGGGAAGATGACGAAGGAAGAGATTCGGAGAGAGGTGAGTTGCTGCGCGCGATGCCTCATTTCCCACCCTGAAACTCCACAGGGAGCGTAAACCCCCTCAATTTGAGGGCTCTGATGTGGCCAGAAGAGAGATTTCCTCTTAAATCCGCTGAGTTTATTCAGGCTCCTTCGGGTTTTGCAGCCTTGGTTGTCCCTTCTGGTTCCTCAGTGACCTGAGGAGGTGCCGAGGTTTGGCTCAGTGAAGGGCGATTTGGCTCCTGCGCCCATCTCCGAATCCGGGGACGCTGCTGGGTGATGCTACCCCATGAATGAGAGCAGAAAAATTGGGGAGCCCCTTCCCAGGGCCACGATTCCCTTGCTCACCAGGATGAGACCTTTCGGATCTCTGGGGGGATAGGAGCGTAGCTCGGCCGTGACGTCTCCTTTTAGTGGGGTGAATCCCATCCTTTGTGTCTGCTCAGGGATAAGGAAAAGCTGTAAAAGCCCCGCTAGGGAGGAGCTGGATCCCTCACTCAAGGTAGGTGGGTGAAGTCACTGCCCCAGGGGCTCGGGGAATCAGATTGAATTTCCTTGTGGAAAAACTTGGCTTTGAATCACGAGACAGGATCGGTCCGCTTGGAAAAGACCTTAAAGATGCTCGAGTCCTTGTAAGGGATGGAGCTTCCCAGCTTGGAGCGGTGGGAGAGGCACCCCAATGCCCAAGGGGGCCTTGGAGAAGCATCCCGGGGCCATGCCCGGGTGTTTCCAGGGTGCACGGACCAAAAAGCAGCTTTGGCGTCCCCAAAATCTCGTACCCAAGAGCTGGAGCTCGCTCTGAGGCTCACGGTGCTTCGAATAACCAAACCTGTAACGAATTAATACTTCAGAACCATTGAAGTATCTGCCACAGTTCTCCCCACCTGCCGAGCCCGGCCCAGTGCAACTTTTTCTGGGGGGAAAAAAAGCTGATTTTGGGTGACGGCGCTGTGGTGTAAAGCAGAGGTTTGGCCCTGGTCGGGTTGGTTGGGCCTAGGACTGAGGGAAGTTCTCTGTGAGGGGGTGGTGGCCTGAAACGCAGCCCTGCTTTGACCCCTCAGGTGCGCTCACGATTCAGGAGGAGATCAGCCAAATCAAGCGCAAACTGCAGGCGGGCAAGAAAACCCAAGAGAGGCAAAAGAAGAGGCACCGGGACCGCATGGTGGAAAGGTAGCGGCTCCTTTTTGGTTTGTATGATTTTGTTATTTAAAATGGTATTTTTATTGAGTTATTTTAATTTTACTTTTAATATATTTTTATTTTTTAATAGGTTTT